AAATCCAGTCATTATAAAATGATTTACACCAAACTAAACTATACTGTGTCAGAGTCTCGAGGCACCTCTTAGGTTTTTATGTTCTTGCTCCTAAAAAGACCGAAGGGTCTTGAGAAGCTGTCTTGTGTGTTGAACCACTTATCAGTGACCCAAAGACCATTGAGGCCTATTAGTTTTAATCTTTGTTTAACTGGACAAATCACAATGAGATTAAAAACATGCATGTTTTTGAACATTTGTAGAAAATCCAACAAAACACAAGTACATGCAAACTCCCAATGGTTTAAACTCAGAACCTTTGGGTTGTGAGGCTAACCACTGATCAATAGTGCTGCCCAATACTGAACCAGGCTAACAGCTAAACATCATCCCACTGTACTTTCTGCCTTTTTTAGGAGTTTACTCTAAATACTTTTAAAAATGTTAAACATAATGAAGGAAAATGATCCTATTTTCTAGTTTTTATTTTGATTTAAGCTAAAAAAAGTTATCATGCTTGGTTATTAAACAGAGAACCTTTGAAGGTCATTTCATACATACAGTATAACAAGCTGTACTGAAGTGTAATATTTCAGCTCTGCATAAAACAGAAGATCTGAGGAACACATCTGAAAGTATCTGTGAGTGAAAATGCACTGCTTTCAGTTTACTGTTGGTTAACATTCAAAACAATAATAACGACAATGTTTAAGTCAAATTGGAAATGCCAACACTTTCTAATTTTCTTCCTAATGTTAAGGAGAAAACTGTCCTGTGGGTTGAGAAATGTCACGTTAATTCCTTCAGAAAAGGATTCTGTCTTCAGTGACTGATTTCTGTCACCAACCTGATTTATATCCGATATTTTCAAAGCAGCACTCACTGAGACTTGGACCCTGCTCATCTGTTAAAAATGGATAGATAAATACTTTTTGCTCAGAGAACCTGTTAAATGCCACAAGATGGTGCTAAGTGCTCCAAAGCCAGAGTCTAGCAAAAACAGGCAAATAGTGAAGAACTTTCCTCCTTTTTTTAAACAAATTCAGTGAAATCCTCAACAAGGCCTGTGTAGAAACTGACCTCCCATTTACTATGTAAATAGCTTTGTATCGCTGCTAAGAACGACTCTAAACTGCGAAGCTCATTAAGCTACTAAAATAACGATCTAAACTTAAATTGTGTTTTCACTGCTAAACCTTTTTGGAACAAAAAACATGTGAACAGAAGAATACACAAAAATTAAAGTATTTCAAATAACTACTGAAGAGAAAGTTTTAAAATAATAATAAGCTGTATTTCTTTGCCACAAAAAGCCATTAAAAAGGCAGAAAGACAGCAAAAAACCTACAGCAACATGTAGAAAAAACACATTTCAAAGCCAAAAGTAGCATAAAATACTAAAAGAGGGCAAGCATATTGAAGCTAAATCTATAAAAATAATGTTTTTGAAGGATTTGAAGAGATTTTAATGCATGTCTGTGGAGAAAATAATTGTAAATAAAGGCTAATATTTTAAAATGGCTAAATTACAAAAATAAAATCATTGCACAAATTTTCTGAAAGAGTTAATTTTTATTGTATAAATTACTAAATTAGAAAATATGCAAAAATAGTTAGACTGCAAATAATACAGATAAATTTAAAAAAACAGGAAAACAGCATGACTGCTGGCTCGTATTGTTTTATGGTGATCATTTAGATTTGATCGAAGACTGTCATCAAATTTAAAATACTTTTGCCGCATCATCGTATTCATTAACAACTGTCAGACAATTCCCTGTGCAAGCAGATTCTTTAAAAAAAGTTATTTTTAAAGTGCTACTTTCCTTAATTACTTTAGCCCACACCAGCTCTCTCATTAGGAAAAGAAACCTGGCAAACATCCCATTAATAATCTCCCTCGGAAAGAGGGAGAGCTCACTTCAATCTTATCCATTCAGCCAGGAGCAAAAACAGAACTAAACTAAAAAAAATGTAATTTTGTTCTTTTTGCTGCAGCTGAAGACGTCTTTCTGTCCCCCAATGAGGTGCTATTCCCTAACAAAGTTATAAAACTGAAGAAAAATCATTTAAAATCAACAGCTATGGTTACAGAAAGGAAAAAAAGAACCTCCTACAGTCAGTATATTGATCGGATCCGGTCGTTCCTCTTCTCAGTGGATTGATGCTTTTCACCAGTCTCACAGGACGTAGAGCCTGGAACAGGGAAACGTCTCTCAAATGAGTGGCAGACTCTATATATGATTTTTTTTCTTGTTACCAAAATATGTTTCCATTTGTATGAGAAGCATAAAGCGATCGTTTTTCAGTTTGAGTTCTTGCATCTTATGAAAAATGAGCTTTAATAGAAACAGGAGCAGAACAGTTTTTATTTGTGAGCTCAAACTGGTTGGTTTTTGTTAGATTAGCAGAACAGTAAACTGTCTGTCTGTGTGCACATCTTATTAACATAGCTTTGCCTGCCTATATTTTTGATGCTAAAGTTTCCTGATTAAACCAGAATCAATGAGATTGAGAACTTGAAGTTTCCGGGTAGGCCTTTTTCTTATTTTGTAGTTATATTGACTAAAACTATCAAGAAGCTTTTCTTATATGGACTGTGGAGCTGCTGATTGGATAAACCATCAGTCAAAAAGAAAAAAAACTAAAAACTAAATCAGATTATGTGTAACATTTACGAAAAACTTTATTTACAAATCCATCCAGGTTAAGAGTTGTATCAATCACAAGTATCATTTGGAATCTGTTCAGTGGTTCAAGAGTTATTTGACTAACGGATGTTGCACAATAAACATACAGGTAGGTGGTCAGTATCTGCTACAATCTCACAGTTTTCTTTACTCCAGTCAGTTTTTCTTAGATGTCCCTAAATCCTAAATGAAACCCAGAGCTGATTAGGCTTTTTCAGTTGCTGTTTCAGACCTGTGGAACAGTTTACCTTTTTGTGGTTGGTCCGCTGAGCCTGTTGAGACTTTTAAATCTTTGATTTTCCTTGGCTTTTGACTGAGGCAGAGTTTGAGGTTCAGTTAGACGATGATTTTTTTTTTTTTAGTTTTATTGTGTGTTTCTGTATTTTATTTTAACTTTTGTTTTCTTGGCGACACAAGTCCGTGACGGAACTGTAAAGCACTTTGGTAAACGTTTGTTGTTTTTAAAATGCTAAATAAATAAATTGACATTTGCATCAAATTAATTTTTGTCAACTAGGTTGAATTGTAGTCAATTAACTGACGTGACGAAAAGGTTCATCAGATGTAGACGTATACCCAGGGATTATTGAAGTAAACTACTTTTAATGACAAAGGCATTTTATCAAAGGTAAAGATACCCCCCCCCCCCTACACACACACCCACACATACACAAATATATCATTGGTCTACTATCTTTATGGACTTTGCATTGAGTTTCTATTTCTACAGCCTAAATCTGACCATCCATCCATCCATTTTCTTCCGCCTATCCGGGGTCGGGTCGCGGGGGCAGCAGCTTCAGAAGGGAGGCCCAGACCTCCCTCTCCCCAGCCACTTCTTCCAGCTCCTCCGGGGGAACTCCAAGGCGTTCCCAGGCCAGCCGAGAGACATAGTCCCTCCAGCGTGTCCTGGGTCTTCCTCGGGGCCTCCTCCCGGTGGGACGTGCCCGGAATACCTCACCAGGGAGGCGTCCAGGAGGCATCCTTACCAGATGCCCGAGCCACCTCAACTGGCTCCTCTCGACACGGAGGAGCAGCGGCTCTACTCTGAGTCCCTCCCGGATGACTGAGCTTCTCACCCTATCTCTAAGGTAGAGCCCAGCCACCCTGCGGAGGAAACCCATTTCGGCCGCTTGTATCCGGGACCTCGTTCTTTCGGTCATGACCCAAAGCTCATGACCATAGATGAGGGTAGGAACGTAGATCGACCGGTAAATCAAGAGCTTCACTTTCTGACTCAGCTCTCTCTTCACCGCGACGGACCGATACAATGCCCGCTTTACAGCAGACGCTGCGCCAATCCGCCTGTCGATCTCCCGCTCCGTTCTTCCCCCATTCGTGAACAAGATCCCCAGATACTTAAACTCCTCCACTTGAGACAGGACGACCCCCCTGACCCGGAGAAGGCACTCTGCCCTTTTCCGGCTCAAGACCATGGCCTCGGATTTGGAGGCACTGAGCCTCATCCCGGCCGCTTCGCACTCGGCCGCGAACCGCTCCAGTGAGAGCTGCAGATCACGTTCCGATGAAGCTGACCACCAACTTAAAAATTTACCTAAATTCAACTGACTTAGCCCTAAACCCAATCCCTGACCCACCAGTGGCTTTTCCCCTCATGAGGATTAGTTTCAGGTCCCCATAAGTACCCGTTGGTCCCCACAAGTAGGTGTAAATGCCAAAATAAGTCCCCACATCATAGGGAATACCAGCTTCCATCCATCCATCATCTTTACCCACTCGTTCTTTCTGGGTCATGGTACTCACTGGTGCACATGTCCAGAAGTCATTGTGCATGGAGTGGCCGCTCCATGCACCCTGGCCTGGATGGGTCGCAAGTCCATCACAGGGCCACATAGACTTACAAGACAACCATTCACACACACACCAAGACAGTTTAGTTACAGTCATGTTTTTGGTCTGTGGGATGTCACCGGAGTGCCCAGAGAAACCTCACACATTTACAGAGAGAGAGAGAACATGCAAACTCTGCCCAGAAAGGTCTGGATTAGATCTGGCAACCTTCTTGCTGAGAGGCAACAGGTCTGCATACACTCTGGCTGTGAACAATAAAATAACTTTTAGGAAAAATAAATATATACTATAATATTATAAAAAAAAACTGTGAGTTACGAAACTTTAATGTCTCAACTGATGTGTGACTCCCATCTGGATATTTTTAGCTGTTTAGGATCCCAGGGGAGCCCCATTGCGCCCTGGGGCGCGTAACGTTTATAATCCGCCCCTGTTAAAAAAGACAGCTGCTTCTTTCTTTTGTTAAAAATTAGTTCAACAACTGATAGGAAGTGACGGAATGCTGCTGTAGCTCTGGTTCGGGTTTGGGGAGTGCCCCGCTGGCTGCCTCACCCAAACAGACCAAGCAGAGAAAAGGCGGAGAGTGTTTGGCACCGGACGGGCGCAGCAGATGTTAGAAGGAAATGGTTTGCAGCTCGTGGTCTTTCGTCCCATGTAAGCTGTCTTTGTCTTACACCTGCAGCTCGGTGAAAACTCCATAAAAACTGGAAGTACGGTCCTCTGGAGCGGAAACTGTACAGCGACTTATTTAACGGTATGCGCAGACAGGAAGACAGCTGAGGCGGGCAGGAGGGCTGACGATGGCGGCTTCGGTGATTCGGATGATGGTGGTCGGTAAAGTTGGAGCGAGACTTTGGGGAAGTCTTCAGCCTCAGCACTGCGGCTTCAGATACACTCGTTCCCTTACATTTCTTCAGCAGGTAAATCAAAACTGAAACTGACGCGTTCAATTCGTCAAAATGTTTTTCTGCGCCAAAGTCCAGTTGTTTCCTGCTTTGTCACAGTCTTTTTTTCTATTTTTAACAACTTGTTTCCAACATTTGCTGTAAAAAAAGTCCAAAATAAGATGAAAACTTGAGCAAATGGTGTTTATTTTCTATCAGATGAGTGTTTTTGTCAGATTACCAGCAGATTTTAATGCTTTACACTGTGTGCCCTCTTTAATTGTCTACCTTCCTTCAGCTCACTGAAACAAGTAATTTCAGTACAATTTGCCAGGGGTCTTATCTTAACAAGAGAGGGTCAGGGGCCACAGGGGCCACCCCTAGAAATATGTTGGTCCCTCTTACGACCCTCCCTTGGCCAAATAGTCATGTGTTGCTGTGATCCATACTTTTTTTTTTTTTGCGTGGATTTGACTTTCCCAAGGTATTAGGATTAGTAGAACATAAACATAAAAAAC